TATATATGCATGTCTCTAGCTGACTCGATCCTCTCGAGGAAACTAAAAAATATGTTGAAATCGAGCAGTCATCTCGCGACAGTGTGAATCTATTGACCCCATGAATCCCGTGACCCAAAATATGATGATTGTGTAGTATAGACGTTTGCCATTCCAAAAACAAGTCGATTGGATAAACAACCGTGCGTCGGCAAATCGCTTGATGTTCGGTGCTCATAAAGAAGAGCAATTTGCGGAGGTAGAGCGTCCCTTTATGGCTCTCTACCGGCCTTAGGATTTTATGGTGCCGTCGCGAAATGGAACGCGTGACGTGTCGCGACACACACTCGGGTCTCCTATCTCTACCACGTAGGTTTGCTTTTCTCCGTCCCTCCTACGTCTTCCACTTTCCAAGATCTGTTCCTTCTCCTACGCTCTATCTCCCAGGATCTCTGTCTCCGAAGCCGTACCCCGCCGAGTGATTCCGGGTATCGATAACGTCTACACACTAAGGTAATCTTATACGCTTGTACGCGACACGCGCGCGCAGAGGCGACATACGAGTCGGCTCTCTAGCTATACGTAGTTATAAATTGTACGTGATACGCGGCGCTGCCTGCAACACATATTGTACGCACAGTAGCTATATAGGTAGTGGTTCTCAAGTAATATACGCACGTACAGTGAATCTTACAATTCTGTGTTCTTGTTATCTGTCGGCGTTATTGTCAACTACCGTCGGAGGAAACCCTCCCTTAGCCGGACCGAGGACTTGGGTAGAGGGAGGCAACGATCACGCCTCGTTACAATTGTTGTTGTTTTCATAGAGCCTCTAGCTCATGCACTCTATTATGTATTTGCACTAAGCAAACATATACCCTTCGTAGCAGGCAAAAACATTAGCACTAGGTTATTTATTTCTTCTAAAAAAAGGATCGAGGCATATATACTATACCAATTAGTGTTTGGTTATTCAACGTTTTTGGTGGAGGTTTAAATATCACACACACACACACGTGCGCGCGCACGCACACGCACACGCACACGCACACGCGTACCCCCCACACACGCACACACACACACACACACACACACGCGCGCGCGCGCGCGCACACGCACACACTACAGACACACGCCCCCGCACATGATGAAGACACACACGCACGTGCAGGCACACACGCACGTGCGCACGCGCACGCATAGACCATCTCCTATAGAAAACGGCAGGTCGCGTAACCTCCTACCTTCTATGCCAACTAATTAGAATAACTACCAGTCGTGTGTACGGGAAACAGGTGAGAAACAGCTCAAACATAAATGCCTGATATAAGAATATACGCACTCTGCTTGGTGAGATTTTGGTCAAAGGGTTAATTAGGTTTAGAATTTAATTGAAAAAATTTGAAGTTAGGTAAGCGAACTACGACAAACCTATTTGTCTCAGCGTTTTGACTTCATCCTAATATGCGATATGTCCAATCCACCTCACGTGCATCCAGTGATGTCTGCTATAGTTGTCGGTATTTGGTACCACCATAGAAATAATATAGTAGTTAGGTGTCTCTATTATATTACTATCAGTACCGCACACGCACGTGCCCGTGAAGCCTCCTCTAATTGCATGTCATTTCTTCCTCTTCTCACATATGCTGAGTAGTTGGTTATTCAGTAGGAAATCTCCGTGCCATTACTGCATTTTGTTGGTACTGCGACGTACCACCGTCAGTAGTCATTCCTGATGCAATATGGCACATAAGATTCGAATGGAACTACAGAGAATCTACATCTATATTTCATGTTACATAACCTCCCACGCTTTCCCATTCCCCTTAGCTGTTGGCCCGTACAGTTGCAAACTCGCAGACAAAAACCTTTTAACTATTTACTCCTGTCGTTAATTCTCGTGCTTACGGCATATCTGTCAAGTATTAACCTATGCTTGTTACCATAACCACATTAATTTTATAATCATGGTTAATAATTCGACAATGCTACAATTAAGTTCGAACTGATTGGTATGAATTACGTCGGTATCTGTCGTGTTTTTACTGAAAAAAACCACGTGAATGCAAATGATAAAATATCAAGTGTTGTAACGTTGAAAACAACTTTATTTTCACCTGAATAATATCAGCAATAATAATGGAATTAGTAATAAGTTTGAAATGCCATTAAAAGGGTACACATTACTCACGTAGCTTCAAGTGAGTAAAACTTTATTATGGCTATCTGGAATGCTTGCAAACTGCACTTATTATATTGTGCAGCACAGGGCTTTGGCAAGTAAGAGATAAAGTAATATAGCAATACCATGCATACTAGCATGGTGTTGCACCATTCTTGATTGCTTTCGCAACTTACATGCAAACAGTGTGTGCTAATTTGCACAGGCACTTATATAGGATCAGATCCTTCACATATCATACATTATAATTCAAAATTCTAACACTATTAATAAATAATAATATTCTAAAACAAATATTGTCTACTGTCAGTATCTGATCTTCCACCGTGCAGGTTGTTCACATGATTCCTGTTTATCGCCACACAGGCGATTAAATGTGACATCAGGATCAAAGCCGAGTATTTCACGCTCTTCCTGAATGCGAAACGAAAACGTCGACACTGACGTTCCCACGAAATACCTGCAATGCAAAAGTCATCAAAGGTCATTTGGTACATGCTTTAGTTTTTGAAAACAACTCTTCTGATCACAAAGGATAGACTCCACAGATGACCCAGTACTGTGGCCATATCACACAACAGTACCATCTAAAAGCACGGTAAACACCACAGCAAAAATGCAAACTCGTGCACCATATGATCATTAGCATCGAAATTAAAATGAAACGCGCTATAGAGTGCTTTAGTAATATACCTCGCATGTGCACAAATCCATTGATCAATGATAGCCACTCCACCATCTCCATATTTCTTGAGAATCTCTTTGGGAGGAACATAGCGAATCGCAATAGGAATATACAACTTGAGCTCTTCGAATTCTGAAATTACGAAAACACAATAGTGGATTACAGGAGGTTGCAAGTTCTCTGTATAATGCGATACTTCTCATAATGAATAGAAATCACAGAATATTCTAAAATCACAAAATTGTTGGCTTCAAGTAACTTTACGTTTTTTTTTAAAGTTGGTTTTCAAGATGACATTACTCATCAAGATGAGTTACTCAGTCATAAACTATTCATATGCTTTTAATACCAAGTGTAATACCGGATTACTGTATTTACCTTTCTCATTTATATTATGCAGCACATATTTTTTTACCTATCATGTAGCATGCTTTGATCGTGAGTAAAATAAAAAAAGCCCATGGCATGTAATCCTACCGATAACCTCGTGTTCCAAGCATTTCACACATTTACGAAAACACATCGCATTCCATAGGCTACACGTTTCTGCAGTACATGGAATGTATAGGATGATTGGTTATTACCCTCATCTGGTGCATCACTTGCTATGAAGACTTTCTTCGCCTTGTACTTTTCTATTAAAGGTAACAGTTGCAGCGCAGTTCGGTTGATACTCGGCACATCGTCGCGATGGCCATAGAGGAAATCCCGCCGCCTGAGGTGGGCCGCAATGTACGGGCCACCAATAGCGTGGCCAGGTTTCACCTGTGAAATAGTTTGTCATCTATATAGGCAACTACGATTGTATAAACATATGAATAATCTGGAAAGATACCTACGAAAACTGCGATGGACAATGCAGTCGATAACAGTGGCTGGCCATCTAGATCGTAAAGCTGCCCATGTCGAAATTAATTGAAATTAAATGTTTATAGAAAAGTACATACAATTAAATGGAGCACAATTTTATGAAGTACAATACTCAGTCATGCATTCACTCGACTTTCACAATATATTGACCAATCTGAAGATCGCCAGGAAATGAATATTGGTTTTGCTACACGAAATATACTTGCAAAGCGAAGCATACTTGATGATCTCTCCAATCAGGATGAAGCGTTGTTATATCACCATCATCTGTTGAGTCGAGTCGGTCTCTCCTAAATGCATCGCCCATATCGATGAGCGGTTTCGCAAACCGAAGGCTTCTTCTAGCCTGTAATTAATTTGTTTGATTTGTTTTAATTAATTTAATTGGTTAATTAATTTAATCTGTATATTATTACTATATAATAATTTATGGGGGCCTATAGACCGAAGGTCCGATAAACCGAATATTGCAAAGGGTTAGGGTTAGAGTTAGGGTTAGGGTTAGGGTTAGGGTTAGGGTTAGGGCATATATATGGTTTATAGTGGCATCATATGATTTATTCGGTGGATGTGCTGCATATTCACGTTCGAATACGGCATCAGTGGATGTCCGGATGCGTAGCCTGGAGGCTAGGCGACCGATTCCGGACGTGTAGCCACTGCGTATTCGAATAAACCTTCGGTCTATCGGGCCTTCGGTCTATCGGACCTTCGGTCTATAGGACTGTAACCTAATTTATCCTTTCAGAAAACCCTTTTGTGAAGTTAATGAGAAAATTTGCCCATACGTCACCCTTGAGCTCCTGTTTTTATACATTTTTTATGGATTATCATCCTCTACAGGCCAAATATAAACATGCCAGTCAAGCTGTTGATATTTGTAGAAATACTTATTATGCATTAGCCTACAGGATGCAGGATTTGCAATATTGAATTACGATATGACATCATATGAGCAACCATTGAGTGTAGAATGCATCACAGGAGATTATATTTCTGAAATTGAAATAACCTTTTAGCAAGCTTAAACGTTCTGTAATAGTGTTATTCTGCTCACTACTGCTTGACAGTTTCAGTATAATGGATTCTGACTGGCAACTGTGGTGCGGTATATTTAGTAAAATTTATTTTAAAAATTAAATTTAAAATTATTATTACGCAAGCATATCCCCTCCAATAATCGGTGTTCTTACTGACGCCCTCAGCCGAGGCAATGCAAGCTCACGTGGTAAATCTGCCTTGCACGACAATAAAGAGACACCACATCTCACGACTTGACATGCATTCAGAGCAGAATAAACAGCAGCAACATATGAGAATGCACTTGAATGAATATGATAACATGGTGTGATAGCAGACGTCAGGGCAGTGCAATGGCAACAGGCAACACAGTGGAAGGCAGAAAGTAGTGCAGTATAGTGTCAGAAAAGAATACTGTGCAAAGTTAGCAGACAAGATAGTCAAAGGTGGAAGACAGTGGCTATGCAACACTGTGACAACACAAGAAAGCCAAAGATGCGAGAAGGCATTGATTAAGATGACAGAATATGTGGCAATCACATGACAAATAGCAGCACCATTATGCCAGAAGAGACTACCGCAGTCAAATGGTAAACGACAGCATCATGGTGGTGCAAGATAGCAAAAGGATAAAAAGCATTTTATGACACATCTTGCGACACAACTTTACATGTCCTACGAAGATAGGTGATTCTCAACAGGTTAACACGAGGCTAAATATTCAATCTACAATCGAGAATGACAGCACGCCATGGAAGAGCACAGCATTTACCAGCCAGTGCCCACCCATGGAAGGAAGCGGACACGGATATGCCTCGCAAAGAAGCAGAGGTGCCAGAACCACGCTAGCTGTCATGTATAAGAAGCACTTCCTCAACATACAGTATCATGCCTCTGTGAACATGGAAACTTGAATGACAAATTATGTACACCAAAGATTGCCAACAATCTATACGCATCAATCAGACAAGTTTTTACACACAAGGAAAAATGTAAGCCAGACTCTCAAGTTTCCGTTATTCGAATTAAAACTCCACATGGATAAGCATCATTATGCACTACATACTGTTAGACATGCCAAGCACGTGGACTGCAAGTTAGGCTGCCAGGGTCTATGTCTCCCTGGGTACTGCCGGAACGTACCCTGGTACTATCTAATATGCCGGACCGTACCTCGCCTACTCCACTAACGAGTCTAGAGAGTCGCCTACGCCTACTCCCTAACCCTAACCCTAACCCTAACCCTAACCCTAACCATATCAGATAGTTACCAGGGTACGTTCCGGTATACCAGACCGTACCCAGGGTACGTTCCGGCAGTACTCAGGGAGACATAGAACCTATCAGCGCAAGTTAATCAGTCAAGAAGACAGGAGAAAAAAAGACAGAAATAGATTTCTTACACATCTCACGTATTATAACTATGCATGGTTTCTTCTACATAAGAGGCACAGTGGCACACCGCCATTGTGAAAAATTTTCTGTATTTACCAGCCATTGTCAAAATAGTGTCAACCCAAAAATAAATAGATCACAACGTAATTCTGGCATATATTTAGATTCAAAGCCATGTGCATTTATTGAGTCATGTGACGCGGGGTACGGCACGCCTTTGAATCCATCGTGCACGTTTATTCCCCCAAAATGGCCATTACCTCCTTTGTCTAATTTTCCCTCAGAAGAAACCCTGCTATATGGAGCTGACAACAAAGGCCACAAACCTGCCAATAGTCTTCATCCCCATATCTGTTGTGTAACAGCGTCTCCGCTCTGTCTATAAGGACTGACCTTCAAAATAAAAACGACTGAATGAAAGACAACCAAATCTGATCACAGCTCTGTAAGTACAACACATGGAGTAGAAACCGACTACGAATATAACCTTATTTCACAAAAATTATCAGTACATAATTTATAAATCCCAACATCTTTTAATACCTTGCCTTGGAATAGTTTGATCGCAGGGCAGGTATAACAATAGCTGCAAAGCCTTGTGCAGATAGACAGTGGAAGTTCTTAGCCGCTACTCTTTCGTATCCCCAGAACCAGCCACGATACTTTCCATCTGCATGTTTGGAGTACCTAAAAATGATAAGTGAAAGAAATGCTAGACGTAATGGCTTTAGGAATTACATCTGCGCAGATTCATGGCTAAATTTAAAAGTGAATAGAAAATGTATTCACGCCTTTGCGAAAAGTGGTTAATAATCGTTATATACCAATATTCAATTATAGATTGTATGAAAAATATATTACTCGCAATCGTGTTGCATGTTTTATTATATATATATATACTAGCTGCGGGTACCCGCTGCGCTGGGTAAGATCGTGCTACTAATTCACAGTACTAATAATGGGACAGAATAGGAACATTGGGTAAAAATCGGCAATAACATTGCAGACAATATTAATATTTAGAAATGAGTGTAATAAGATAATAAGCATGGGAAAAACGAAAAAACTGTTACGTATGACATTTATATGACAGCACAACCGAACTTGGAACCCCTGGGACATAATAGTAATAAGGTGTAAATGACAAAAAGTTATTATAACAGCATGTAGGAATGGGTTGGACTTTTCATTTGAAAGCCTCTTGATAAAGAATGTTTTTCGTCTTATTCTCTGGTGCAAATATGTAGAGATTCCTGGCGTCTCCAACTCTTGAGCTCCCCACGTACAGCTATCCATTGTGAGATCGTAGCATAAATAAAAGGAATATAGTATCAGGAGCATTAGCTGCTCATAGTAAAGATAGAGACACGCAACCATGCACATTTAAATGAAGAAATTTCCCTACTGAATCAGAAACTGCATAGCTTTCGAATGGTACAATGCATTCTGAGATCGTAGCATCTGAACTGAACCTCTGAGCTGAGTGAGTAGTACCTCTGAACTGGTGAAACTGGTGCTGGTTGTGGTGTGTTTTAGTATTGGTTTCGGTTTCACAATACCAGCAGCCGGATGAGGTGAGGGAATCGAATTTTCTGTGTGTGGCAGCACTGTACAGTGAGTGCTGACATTGTGTGAAGATTCACGAATTGACGGGTTTTTCACAGATTTTTCGGTGAGTTTGACGGTTTGACAGGTTTTTTTCATCTAGGAACACTCCCCGGGTGTAAGAGATGGCTCTGTGAAAATTGCATCCAGATCGCTTGGGCGGTTTGGCCGCCTATAGGGAAGATACATACATACATACATACATACTATACATACGAACTCAAATATATATTAGATATACATGATACTGTAACGTGATAAAATGCAACAGTACTCATCTAGCAATTACTTGGCCACTGCTCCAATCTCTTGAATTTATGACTAGATTTTTTTCACCACGACATTCACTATGACATTTTTTCACTACTACATTCATTCTATGCAGTGCAATGGACAAGGAGATATGAGTTGGAACAGTAGAAATTAACTAACCTGGGTGCTTCTATACATTCCGTTTCCTCAATTTTCTCTTCAAAGTGTCCAGTAAACCGATCACCCTCGAAATGTTGCAGATACAGCACATCATCTATCACTGGTCCATTTTCTGCCAAAAAAAAATTAAATTACCCTTCATATTAAGTGGATCATGACTTACTGAATCTATATCTCAAAACAGGGTAATTTGCAATTTGGACCTGATCACATAGATCTGCCAATAAAGTTGTAATTAATTTTTTTCATTTTACAACAGGAATATTATAAACTACCAAGTAAAGGATAAATTAAATATCAATTATTTGAGATTACACGCAGAATATGCACACTTGGGGTCGATGAATACTTAAATAGTGCTTATATTTCGATCCTTTGCACTCCTTGATACAAACACAACTGAATATGATCATTAATAAATGAGAAATTAAACAATGTACTGCATATATGAATGGCCTGGCTGACCACTCACCAGTAAGGAAATCCTCAAATTCTATGACAGGAACATACAAATTTAGACTTTGTATGTCGAAAAATGTTTTCCACAAATACTTGTCTCTTTTTAATCCTTCTGTTTTCCAATGATAGAGTGGGCCCCAAGGTGGCAACACTAGAGTCCAATCTTCCTTGTCATTCATCATCTTGACTAAAGAGGCGACGCGCATATATACATCTCTTCGCAAGTTGAAGCCCTCTCCAGGATTAATGCTATATAGAAGGTACCTAAAATGATACGAATGGGAAACAAGTTTTAAAAAAAATCACATTCACTGATGACACCAACATGGTATATTTATTAGGGCATGCTCATATTGAGTGAACGTGCCACAGGGACCTGAAGCAAAATAAAAAATAAAAATGTGTTATAGAAAAAGAGACTTCTCTTTCTATATAACAAATTTTTATTTTTTATTTTGCCTCAGGTCCCTGTGGAACGTGCGGCCAACAACTATTATGAAATGGCCAGGGGACCTCGTTGTCAGAAACAAAATTAGTATCAACGTCATATAGATTGTACACAGAAACATGAGCGAGTTTCTCATACGCAGTGTACACGGGTCAGGTCTACGAGGAAAAATTCGTGTAAAAAGTAATGGTAAGACTAATTTTGTTTCTGACATCGGCTCCAGGAAAAGTGCAATGCTGAAGCCGGCAATCTCACAGGCACTTGGAGCGTTTCAATAAAATATAATGCTAAATAAATATATTTATGTGTCACTGTGGCTCATAGGGCCTATGTCCACCAGGGTACAGCCGGATCGTACCCTGGGTACGGTCCGGTATACCGAAACGTACCCTGGTAACTATCTAGCTGATATGGTTAGGGTTAGGGTTAGGATTAGAGTTAGGGTTAGTGTTAGGGTCAGGGTTAGGGTTAGAGAGTAGGATACTCCCTAGACTCGTTAGTGGAGTAGGCGAGGTATGGTCCGGCATATTAGATAGTAGTATTTAGTACGCCGGACAGGGTACGTTCGGCGGCAGTACCCCTGGATAGACATAGACCCCTCAGCGTCAGTGTGCAGCGCAGCCAGCGATTTGTTGCAGATGAGGCATTTTGGACGTCGGCATTTACAGGATATTGTCGCAATAATAGGTGAAGCAGATAGTATTAGAAACAATTAAGACTTTGTAGTAAATAGATTTTCGTATATATTTATCATTATATTTTATTAAAAAGCTCCAAGTGCCTGTGGCTGTGTGGACAGTCTAGACCACAGGCACTTGAAGCGTTCTCAATAAAATATATAATGCTAAATAAATATCAAAATGCTATTTACGGCCCAAATTCTGAAATGTTCTATACTCTCTTGCACCGTATTATTCCGACGCTTCCTGTAAATTCCGTCCAAATTCCATATGTAAAAAAACATAACGCTGCGCCGGCCGCCATTGCTCCCGAGCGGCGTGCACATGTGCGCACACTACACTTTATATATGATATTATAACTATGTGGGATAATTCAGTGCTGGTCAAAATCAGTGGTGCCTGAAGATTTTGTGTAATTAATCAATTTATTTGAAACTAACAACTCAATCTAATTGCTGTTAGTACAATTTTTCTGCGTAATGTATGGAGCAGATATAAAGAAGATACAAACAAAATTGGCGTGATTCACACAAGTTTTAAGAATCATCATTCTTTCTCCAAGTAAGATGTCCCGAATTTGACAACGACTGTATTGTGAACATCATGAACGGGATTAAAAACCAAGTTGAGTATTTAAAAAGACATAGAACACTCTACTTGGGATTATCTGTCCACTGCGTTTATGGAGAATATTGATTTATTTCCTAAATCCAATTTGTAAATCACGTGGATGGTGCCTCAAGCAAAATAAATCGATGTTGCAATGCAGGTAGGTGGTGTTCGTATCACGTGGGTGTCCATTATGACTGAAAAACAAGCTAACTTATTAATATTGTAAAATAGTTTCCATACCTTGTGATGGATACACTGTATTATATCATTGTGGATCATCAATCAGTAACGCCGAGTGACATTGAATGGGACGAAACTGTGGCCGCGCTACTTCGAAACCGAAACCTCGTAAAAAGTTTATTTAATGTTGTGCGTCGCAGCGTTTGCGGGTTACGAGGGGAACGGGGCGACCTGTCACATATAATAGACTAGTGGGGGAAGCCCGCTTGTGGAAAAAATAGAAGATGTAGTGCCGTCTGTCCGGGTGGAAATTTCCCGATCGCCTTCTGATGAAATACTAGGTCACGGTTCAAGCAGGCGTGCAATAAGCATGTTTATTTGCGTCTCGCGGTCCACGTTGTTTGGTGCCAAGTTACAGAACGAAGACGGTAAGTAGCAGTGTCAGGCTGCAGTAGTAACTTGAAGGTCTTGATTTAAGCAAATAAACGATCGTTTAACACCCAAAGAGGTTGCAGCATAGGAAATAGGATATGACTATCGTATAATCTGTTTGCAAAGTATTCACGACCACTGTCGATGTTTGGGAATAAATCAGCTGAGATCGACCTTTTTCTACTGATGTCTGTTCAAAACCACTGGTTGGCGTGAGGGGCAAGTAGTCCCATTTTAGGCGGAACGACATGCCACGAGGGAGATCAAATAGGGCAGAACTTACTCATACGAATGTTTCGTTATCTCTTGAATTAGTGCAGTAAGATAGTTTGGCCGTGGGGGCGGTGCGTCCTTGTTGGTACTCTGAATGTAAATTTTTTTCGCTCCGAAAATTGTAATATTTTAAATAAATGGTGTTGTTCATCCAGACGGACACACATATTTCCGTGTCGTTAATTACGAACCAGAACAAATCACTGCTATGTAATTTAAATTGCATAATGACAAAATACATCTACGGAAGATCTTATAATCAATTAGTACCACTGTACATCAAACCTTCAATTCAAAAATCACCTTGTACGCGATCTAACTATCTACGTATTAAGTATCCCGTCTTGTTCGTAACAATAGGACAACATTGCATTCCTGAAACGTAACGTGTCTTCGGTGCAATACATGGTGTGGGTTGTAGTGTGTGTGTTTGAGATAGCATAATGTATTATAATATTGCATACATGTGTGGAGGTGGGTGGGTGTTTGGTGTGTCGTGTGTGTTGTGGTGGATGTGTGTGTGTGTGTGCTGTGTGGTGTGTGTGTGGCTGGTAGTGTGGGTGTGATGTGTTGTGTGTGTGTGTGTATGAGTTACAAAAATTAAGCATACATGTGGGTGGCGTGTGCATAGCATGTGCTAACCCATTACTTAGCAATGTGATGCTTCTGTGCTACATTGTAACATGTCATCAAGGTTGTAAATTAGTGGTGTGTGTGTGTGTTGTGTGTGTGTGATGTGTGTGTGTGTGTGTGTGTGTGTGTGCCTCTATTGAAATAAATGAACGTATCCCATGCCATCAGATTGTTTGGTCTGTAATTCATCGTAATCGTCAACGTCTTCCTTTCCAGGTCTATCAACAGACCACTAAAGGAGTTTCTTTTTGGCTATGATGGAGTATAAATGTATTGCAATAAGACGCTATTTTGACTATTATATTGACACAATTTGTGCGCGAGGAGTGCACCAAATGAAAGGATTTTTTTTACGTCGATTCGAAAATTTGTGTCCAAGTTACGTACAACGACAAAATTACAATAAATTACACATTATCAAGCTGAAAAGGTCATGCATCCTCAAAGCATGCCTTTTTTATAACACTAGTATTATCTTGGAGATGATTAAACACGTTGGTATGCTTCCAAGTGATGTCTTGAGATGTGAAAAACACAATTTTCTGATTGCATGGAGTCGCGGTCCGTAAACGGTGTCCATGTTTTGAACCTATCAACATTAAAAATATTCGGCAAAAGTTGCTGAAGCTGCCAAATGAGTAACAACTTTAATACAAACTAATTGAAAAACAGATCAAAGCCATCTTGTATTGCATATAAGCTATTGATTGTCTCAAATATATAGCGCCTTTAATGACAATCCATGTTATGAGACACAACATAAATGGTAAGAACATTATTCGACACCATTTTCCCTGCAAACTCCCTTGTCAACGCACTATTGTCTCGACTACAAATGACCTAAAAGGTTAATGTTTATGCTTTAAATAAAACATGTCAAAGATATGTGAAATATGACCAAATTTGAAAAATACATGTTCAAATCGTCACGCGCTCTGACCAATACTGAATTATCCTGACATATATATAAGCAGGTTAGGAAAAGCGGGATCCCTAAAGTTCCGATCGACGCTCGCTGGATTCGATGCCTTCGCACGCACGAATACACATCCAAGCAAGCTGTCCATCTTTTTCATGTTCAAGAACAAGTGTTCACTTGTTATAAAAAACATACTGTCTCTGTTCGTACCAAGCTGTGTCACTGCGAAAATCACACAAAGACTGGACGAAATTCTCAGGCGTCTATAACGTGCCCGTAAATGTAAAGTCGGCATTGTCAGAATCAGGAAAACTCCCACGTCGAGGCGCTCTTCATGACGCTTATTCCTCGCGCGCCGCACGCTGCAGACGTTTTGCAACGCTTACAATGGCGAGGTGCTCGTTACGGGAGTGGAAGCAGTGCGCCGCATATACCCATAGACTGTACTCGCCCCACCTCTCGGCTTAGCTTAGTTACTCGAATGTAATCGAGGTGGGAGCAAGTACCAATCTATATAGCGCCTGTACTGCAGCCACGTTACAATTTTACGTTGGGCAAAGGTTAGCGAATTGCGAGTAATTTCGTCAGTCCCTTTGTGTGGATTGTCGCGTAGACACAGCTCGTTACGAGAGCAGTAGACAGTATGTTTTATAATAACAGAGTGAACACTGTTCTTGAAATGGAAACAAAGATGGAAGATGTTGGATGTGGATTCGTGCTGTGAAGGCGTGAAATCAAGCGAGCGGCAAACGAATTTAGGGATCCCGCTTTCCTACCTGCTATATATATAAGTGTAAGTGTGCACAGTGCACCCGCGAGAGCAATGGCCGCCGGCAGCGTAGGCCTATGTTTCACATAGGATTTGGACGGAATTTACAAGAAACTGTCAGCAATAATAGGTGTAAGAGAGTATAGAAACATTCAGAATTTGGTAGTAAATAGATTTCGTATTTATTTAGCTTTATATTTTATTGAAACGCTTCAAGTGCCTGTGGCTGTGATCTAGAGGCCAGGTCGGTTCAAGGATAGAGAACATGGGTCCCAATAAAACCAATGCCCAATGGCAATGTCATTTACATCAATATAAATATATTATTATATCAATATAATAGGTTAGGGCTATGATTAGGGTTAGATTAGGGTTAGGATTAGAATTAGGGTTAGGGTTAGGGTTAGGCACATTGGTTTTATTGGGACCCATGTTCTCTATCCTTGGGCCGGTAATGGATCTTGGTCAGATACCTCTTTCTCGGTTTTGCTGTTCCTACATTCAACGACTGTGCTCGAACTGGTTCAAACGCGAAAAGATCTTGATCATCATTAGCAGTAGACGTTAGGGATGACAGACAAATGAAATATATTATGCACAATATCCAAACAACCAAGTTTGACATCACAAACGTGTGTGGATCTCAGATGTTGACAAACACACTACAAATACAGTAGTTGGTAATCTTTAATATTCCCAAGATTGTAAGGATTACAACTTAATACCCAGAGTTCTTTGCGCGTATAGTGCGCGGGTTTTGCTAGACACGCACATGCCTCTCATAGATGGTTGGTCTAGACAGATAGAGGACCCGTGTATAGTTTCACAGGTCTAGTGATTGCGCGCGTGCGTTCGTGAGCGTGCGCGCACATCATAATCAGTATTCAAAGTCTAAAGAATTATATCGAAGACGGAGAGACAAAAAGTTGATCAAATCGACAGATACTGCGGATCTCAACAGAAAAAGGTCCAATTTTGCAATTAACCAAAAAGGAAGGAAGAGAATTCCAATGTGGAATGATGGAAACGTCTGAAACAAAGAAAGAAGATAAATGAAGAAAATTGAAATGAGAAGCTAAATGGATATTTGAAAATGAAATTGTGTACATGTTTGTTCGTCTATATGTTAATTCGTGCGAGTGTGCGTACATACGCGCGTCTCTGTAAATATAAATGCAATCGTTTGATTGTGTGCGCGTACCACAAATTAAGCTATGTATGATAACGTTATATACAATGTTATTATAATATAGATATCCTCTATATATACAGTATTATACACTGTGTATATATTATCAAGAGTAATATAATACTACTATAATGTAAAATAATATAATAATAACCCAATGGGTTATCTAAAGCTGGGTTTACACTGCGAACTTTGTGTTAGGGAATTGCCGAATTGCATCAACTTTGCAACTTCGCAACTGAAAATCGGCAGTGTAAACGCAAAAGTTGCGCGTCCAACCGATCGATAGCAATTAACTAGTTGGAAGATTAGAACATGTTCTAATTTCGCCAACTCGGAGTTGGCGTGTTGGACGTTTTTTTGCCAAGTGGGCCGTGGCAAATCAGAGAACAGCAATCAGGGGTGTGTCCCTCCACCCAGACCATTTGCGCGCGCGTTTCTGCGGCACGTGTCTGAGTGTTATGTGGGAAATTGTATTTGAGGTACTTTTGAGTACATGTACAGCCTTCATTCTGACTATCACATGACTATGTACAGGGGGGCATTGTTTAGGTCGGGTTCATTATGGAATATGTAGAGGTGACCACCTCTGAGACGAGGGCGACAGCAAAACTCTTTCTTGGAATTGTGAAAAAAAGCTGCAAAAAGGTTGTAACCTCTGCTTTGCCACTGTGGCCGAGCAGGCGCGCCACGTAGCGGCATAATGCCGCATGTATTAAGCGCGTCATTACATATATATATATTAATTTGTTGAAATTGCTCATTTCACTAGAGCGAGAGAGAACGAGTGAGAAAGAGAGAAAGCGCGAGAAAACGAGAGAGGGAGAGTAAGAGAAAGAAGGGGAAAGAGGAAGGGGGAGAAAGTGCAACTCGGTGTTCGCGCATGCGCAATATCTCCCGAGAAAATTAATATTATGCAATAATTATGCATTTGAAATGAAGAGGAGTTATCCTAGCATAGATTTATATGATAACATTCGATCAGTAGACCTTACTTAAGAAATAGGAAGATCTTATGGTATGTTATGGCATGTAAGGTCCGCGCTGCATATACCAGTCATGATCAGTACACAATCTGGCTACGTTCGTGTGTTAGCGCATGCGCACTGTGCCGGCATCCGCAAACCCGGGGGCCAGAGGAGCAGCGCCCCCGAACTTCCGCGTCAGTGCATGCAGCAGCCGGTGGACCGGCTTTGCGTCGGCGTTGCCTCCGCCGCCTATCCGCGTACGAACTGCCCCCCGGGCCCCATTTAGCCCCAGTCGCCGTGTGTTCCCCGGCACTCCCCGGAGGATCCCCTCTGAGTGAGTGGCCGTTCGATACAGAGCTGCCTTGCGCTGCACCCTCTAGGTTTCCTCGCCACCCTTCGATCCGAACCGGCTCGCTGACATAGGGCCAGTGCTGTTTCCGCGTTCGGAGCGTGCTGTGGCGGCCTCGATCGCCAACCGCGGCCATTCCTGACTCCGCCCCAGCTGGGTCGTACGTAGCTCCCACCCGGCGGTATGTATACCGATGCCGACGAAGAGCAGTGTGCCAACCGCCGGCCCCTGCACGCCCGGCTGGGACGACGTCGCTGTCTCCCCGAAGCGTGCTGCTCCGCGCGCGTCCACTCTGCCGGCGGAAGGCGTTATGACCGCCTGTTCCTTACGCATTGCAGGCACTTTCAATTTTCGCCCATCCTCGCCTGCCTGTGGTCACCGACCCTTTTCAGGGACAGGCCCTCGTACCTCCGAACCCATTGAGGCGTGCGCGCCCGAAAGCTGGTCTTACCGCACGCTGACGGAGTTCCACACTGCGCGGGCCCTGCTGCCCACCCCTGACGCGTTATTTCCTCCCAGCTCATCGAACCAGAATAGAGCGCAGAGCGGGGTGCAGCCCGGGGCCTAGGGTGCGCACTCTTCGATCCACGGCAGCCCGTGTCGTAGGTGCATGCCATTGGCCATGCCCGCGACTGCCTAACGTCCGCGACGAGCGTGGGTTCCACTAGCGCGCTGCCCTCCGGGCGCCCTCCTGACCGATCATATCTTCTCCCCGAGCTATCCTGGGTTCATGGCCATACACCATACCGTGGGAGGGGGATACCCCTCCCACACCCTACCCCCTCGGTCGCTTCGTCCCTCGCTGGCCCCGCTGTTTCCAATTGCTGGCTACGCCACTGGCGGTCTACTGATAATGATTTATTACATAAGATCTTATGTCTGAGAGACCCCTGACCATAAATAAATAGTCATTCACAAAATATAAACTCCTCTGGTGAGATATGT